AAGCTTGTGAGCCTCTGGTGAAGCATCGTTATTATTTTGTTCAATCCGCAATAAGTTAATATGACAAGATGGTCTTTCAATTTTTGTTATTCTGTCTGCTCTGATGGTTTGGTTTTCATCTTCAACATAAACATTAACTGATATAGATTTGTTATTGATTTCTTCAAAATGGTCTATGTCATCGTTGGATGCTGGAAAATTTACACCATCCCATTGAATTAGACCTTCAGTAGTTATTAATTTCTTGTAGTGTCTCATATGTTGTGGATGGTCTTTCTTGAAGACTTCATAAAATTTACATAAAACACAATATTTAAAACATAATTCATCATCATTTTGAATGTTGATACATGCTTTTTTCTTTGAAATCCATTCTGGTAGTTCCATATATCTTCCTGCTCTGTTCGGATTGTATTTGTCGTAGTGGATGGTGATTTTGTTAATCTTATTAATCTTCAATCCTGAATGTTTCAAAGGTGAGTTTTCAATTTGTAGTTCAATATCTTTAGGTATATTTTCCAAGGCTTTTTTCAAGTCTCCTACATTTAGAATGTTATATCTCCTGCTTCTCATATTGTGTTTTATTTGTATATTTTCCTCAATTGGTTCACCTTCTCCATCATCCTCTTCTTGCTGTCTGACTTTATCAAAAATAACCTCAACATCAATAAGTAGTTTCATTGACTTTGCTTGTTGTAAAAACTCTGTTAGTTTCTTTTCTTGCCATAAAAGATATGTTAATCCTTTGTATCCCTTGAATGTTATGTTAGATACTGAATATGTGTTGGCGTACCCTTTCAATGCTGAAAATGTCTCTGATGTTTTTGCTCCTATTTTTAATCTGTATTTCTGGATTGTTTTAATGCCTCTCATTGTGTTTGATGCTTTTTTTAGAAGATGAAATCGTTTGAAACCTTGTGCGTTGCTGACTTGATTGAGTTTGTTTTGAAGTGATGTGGATAATGGTTTGTCTTTGTTGTAATAGTATTCTTTGTTGTTGATGATTAGTTTTTTCAATGGTTTGTTATTCTTCCCTGTTTTTATGGATGCTTCTTTACTTGATAAAAGATAATCTATAACATAACCTGCTTCGTATTCCCCTGCCATTTTATCTATACTATATAAGGTATTTTCTCTTTAAGTATTTTTATTTATGAATGGTTGTTGCGGGATTGAACTTGGGTTGAAAGATTGAAAACAATGGGGTTTGGGGATGAGTTTGAAACTGTCGTTGAATATGTATCTCATCAAAGTGCCAGTTTCAATACAACATCTGAAACTGGAACTTTGATGTATATATTATATACCCCTAAAATATTTAGGTGAGCAATCCCCAAACAAATATTTAGGTGGGCATCCCCAAACAAATATTTAGGTGGGCACCCCCAAATCATTTCTATGTGGAGAAACACTGCGGCGCTGTCAAGACTGCTCGGTAAAAATAACTCCCTGTTTGCTTTGTTTGAACCCTCACCATCAACAAAACCAGAAAGAAAAAAAAGGACACCTAAATCACTGCGACTATCAAACCTGAAAGATGACAGCGTCGTAGGTGATGGTCTGGATGACTTCACAACCTCGGACGGGCAGGAATGAAGAGCTCACTCACAAATATGCTCTGAAAGGATGTTGATATGCTTAAACACACATGCGAAAGGAGCATCAAAATATGCGTGTTGTGCATATGCTATATGCGCATGAGGCATATGCTATATGCGCATGAGGCATATGCTATATGCGCATGAGGCATACTAAAAATAGACTAAATTACCATTAAATATGCTGCTTGTGCATATGCGTGATGCGCATGTGACATGTGATATATGCGCATGTTTATATGCTTACAACTACAAACATGTATGCTCGTGTAATATGCTTTAAACGCATGTCATAGATGCGAAATGCGCATGCTGTGAGAGCATCCCTTTTTAGCATCCACGAACCACCAAATCTGAAGACGCATGACTGGATGATGTTTCACATCCAACCCCAGTTGCCCTTTGATTTCAAAGGGTCTTAGTCATTGACATTAAAAAACTGTGATTTAATTGAAGGTCTGTCAGTGACCCTTCTCATCAATTTAATTGAAGGTCTGTCATTGACCCCTTCTCATCAATTTAATTAGAGGTCTGTCATTGACCCCTTCTCACCAATCTTCTCACTGATGTATGCCTTCATCTCCTCAAAATCAAAGTCCTCAGGACTACCACCAAACTTCAAAATGGCATCGTCGTGGAGAAAGTCGCAGGACTTCTTGATGAGTTCATCCAACCACGAGCGGAGGTTAGTCATCTTTCGAAGCATGGTCAGATACTCACCAAATGCCTCCAACTTTTTAGGAGTGTTTGCCCTCCCATGACGTAGGTAGTTGTCCAACTCCTTGATGTCCTCCAAAGTGCTTTCTGACACCATCTTCTCAAAGTCCATTGAAGAAGCACCGTATATGTTGGATGCTTGTTTCACCACGGCAACGGCCTCATCCAATGTCATTGACTTAGGA